CCTTATACATCAATAAAATTAGCATCATAACCCTAGGAACAGAAAAGGACAGATTCCAAAAATTAAACAAAGGCAAATAGCAAAAAAAAAAAACCAAACAAACAAAGGGGGGGGGCTGCACAATATTATATGTTCTCTACCTCTAAAATAAAAGTGTTTTTGCCTAGCACCTAAGTTGCAAAGGCTACTGCTTCCGCTACTCTTTGGAAAGAACTCATATATACGGCACTAACACTGAGAAAATACACACACTATACAATACAAATACACACACACACACACTTTGGAAAGAACTCATATATACGGCACTAACACTGAGAAAATACACACAATACAATACAAATACACACACACACACACACACACATTACTATCCTCCTCACCTTTGACAATGAGGGCACCTAGAAATAGACTTAGATCTTGAAGGACAGGTAGATTCAGCATACAGTATGTATAGATCTATTGTTTATGCATAGCCCAGATTTTGGCATTTCCTTAATATATCACAATCTTATTAATCTCTATAATAATGATAACAAACTCTACCCTAAATTTGTAAAGTACTCACAGCACAGATAACACACACTGTAATAAACAAGGTTAATTTGAGGCACAGCCCAGTGTTGAAAAGATAGTGATCAAGAGCTAGGCTCAACACTGGACACCCTGTACACTGTATAACCCAGAATGAGAAATCATTTTTGTTTTTATTTTGTTTTGTTTTATTTTTGAAAGAGCAAGGATTTCTCACAAACTGAATGAGTATTTATACTGACATGTTTGAATTTTGACCACTGTTCTGCATGACATTCACAAGATTATAGGGCAATAATCTTCAAATCTCTATAATGTAGCACAGTTATACAAGATACTATAGGAGATTCTTCTGTAAGTTTGTTTTTGATTTGTTTTTTTTTTAATCCCTAACAAGCAATCTATTATTAGTATTTTCTAAACTTCCTCAAATCAATTTTTTGCCTTTAAAGAACAACACAGCACTGGCTTTGCTCTTTTTTCTTACAGATTTACTACTTCTGTATTTGATTTTCTTAAAATTTGAGTTCATTTATTTTGTACTCTGTCATCAGAATTATATTGAACTAGACACCATTAAACATGAAGCAAACAAAATATCCCAACATGCTAAAAAACAAATTAAGGCAAAATGGTTATCTACTGATACGCTGAAAATAGCTGAGAAAAAGCAGAAAGAAAAAGAACAGTGACAGAGGAAGAGTTGTCAAATGCTGAGACCTGGAGAAAAGCAAGAAAGACAAAGAGCTATATATAAATAAGTAGTGCAAAGACACTGAGGAGAATAATTGAATAGGAAGGACAAGAGATTTATTTTTAAAAATTAGAGAAATCATTAGAAACTGTTATGGAAAGATGGGCATGATAGAAGACAAAGATTGCAAAGATGTACTGGAGTTAGAAAATATTTCTGGAACAACTGTGGGAGGGACATGGGAGTATATGGAAGAACTATTCAAAAATATGCTAAAACTGATGATACATAAAAAGGTTTGACCACTGAACTACAGCCAGACATTCTGGAAAGTGAGGTCAAATTGGCTCTAGAAGATATTGATAACAACAAAAACTACAGGTATTGATGAAACAGCATCAGAACTCCTTAAAATCTTACAAGGTGATACAGTTAAAGTGATATATGTGGTTGGTAAACAGATAAGGAATACAAGTGGCAAAGGTATTGGGAAAGACCAATGCATATTCCAATACCAATAAGGGCAGAGCTAAAGAACGTTCAAACTACCAAACGGCTGCATTTCTCTCATATGCTAGTGAGATCATTTTTTTTTTTGTTTCTTTGGGGAGGATTTTATGGATTATGTTTTTATTCTGTCCACCATCCAAAGTTTCAATGGATAGATGGCAGCCGTGTCAATTCAATTAATAAATAAAAAAATATTGTTCAAGATTTTGTGATGCAGATTTTAACCACACATGGAACAAGAACTATTAGATGTACAAGCCAGATTCAGAACTGAGATCACATTGTTAACATCCTACCAGCAATCAAAAAGGAAAGGCAGTTCCAGAAAGGCATCTATTTTTTGCTTTACTGATTACACAAACATTTTTTTACTATATAGACCACAACACATGATGGCTAGGATTTAAAAATAGGAGTGCACCACATTACTTATCTACTTATTGAAGAACGTGCATAATGACCTAGAAACATAGAACAAATATGGAGTAACTGAATGGTTCAGAATGGGAGAGGAGAGTGCCAAAGTTGTATTTGTTCATATATTTTATTTATATACATACATACATACATATCACCCCAGCAGTGAGGCAGGCCCCCACTCTCCCAGCCTTCCAGAAAGGGGTGAAGACCTGGCTCTGGCAACTGGTGTGGGGCGTGAGGAGTAGTAACCATCCCTGGGAGTGGCTGGCACCTTGAAGATGCTCTCACAGGTTAACAACTGTCACTTACCATCAATTACCTTGGAAGATGTTATTTATTAATTAAAGATTGGTTTATTGTATTTTGATCAGTATTTTAACCTGTATTTATGTTTGTCTTTACTGTAAACTGCCCAGAGTTGCTCAATGAGTGAGATGTGTGGTGACTACATTTGAAATACACACACACACACACATAAATATCTGAGAAACGGTGGACTAGAAAAAAATAGAAATTGGTATCAAAATTACTAGAAGAAACATCAACAAAATATGCTGATATCACTTTGATGATTGGAACTGAGCAAAATTTAAGGAATCACTTGTTGAAGATGAAAGAAAGTGTAGAAGCTTGCCTGCTTAAACTAAACTAATTAAACTAAACGTCATGTCAATTCACCATGCCAGCTCAATGTAAATACAATAGCAATGAAGAAACTGAACTGGTAACAGACTTTATCTTTCTAGGATCACAAATTCATAGGGATGGTGACATAGCCATAGAATAGAGAGACATATGTTTCTTGGGGGAAAACTATGACAAATCTAGACAAAATATTAAAGTGCACAACATCCTACTAACAATCAAGGTACATAGTTTCAGGGCCATGGAGTTCCTACTTATAACATATGACTGCAAAAGCTGGGCCATCAGAAAGGATGAACAAAGCAAAATTGATGCCTTTCAATTGTGGTGCTTGAAAAAAATATTGAGAATATTCTGGACAATAGAGAATACTATACAATACAGATGAAGCAAATCCAGACTGCTCACTGTGAATACTAAATATGAAGGTGTAGTTTCAAAGGCAACTGAAAACGAGGATGACCAAAGACAAGATGGCTAGATACTATCAATGATAATACAAGCATTAGCTTACAATATCTCAAAGAAGCAGTTATGAACAGACTATTCTGCTGAAATGATGTCTTCCCAGATCACAAAGAATCAGATGCTACTAAACAACAACAAAATTATGTCTGTAATCTTAAGCATATAAAAAGTAATCAGCCATACTGGCTCTTGAGAAAAAAAAATCCCACATTTATTACCACAATATTTTCATTAGGATCACCTAAATTTTAATAGAAAAAATGGGCAAAATTTCAAATTCTCTAGAACTGTTTCATCAAGAAAAAGGGAAGGAAGGCCAGATGTTTCAGTCATGAGGTCTTCAGTTCAAAGTCAATCTCAAGATGTAAAGTGTAGCATTTGGTATTATTGCTATCATGTTCAATCTAGCACTCCAAATGGAATAAATATGGAACACTACATTAAAGTTAAAATTAAAACAAGAGGTTTTCTCAATTAAAGCACTAATTCTAAAATTATGAAATCAACAGCCTAATCTTATGTTCAGCTGCACCTATCTTAATAAAAATGACAGTTCTGTCACAAAAGGATCCTATGAAGTATTTATGCATGGGTGGGCAACTTGCGATCTGTGGTGCACCTCAATCTCCGTTTTCATTCTTACAGTTCTCCTGACATGATTATTGAAACCCAACAGCATAATTTCCTGTCATTTTCAGATGGGAAACACATGAAGACTACAATGAAAGTTGTAGCACAGACATATCTTTGAAGCATACCAAAGCGCTACCCCAACCCTGCCACATACAGTGGTACCTCTACTTATGAACGCTCCTACTTACGAAATTTTCGAGATACGATCAGCTCCGGCCCCAAAAATTTACCTCTACTTACGAATTCACCTCGACTTACGAGCCATTTTCCGCCCATTCCACGTGGTCCGCGGCCATTTTTCTGCCCGTGCCATGTGGTCCACGGCCATTTTTCCGCCCATGCCACGTGGTCCACGGCCATTTTCCGCCTGTTCCACGTGGTCCGCGGCCATTTTCCCGCCCGTGCCACGTGATCCGCGGCCATTTTCCACCCATTCCATGTGGTCCGCGGCCATTTTTTCCACCCTGACGCATGGTCA